AAAAATAAATTCCAGAAATCATTCAGAGCTCTAGAGATTGTTCTGCGGGACTTTTTGCAGGTACCTGGTACCCCTTGCACCTGCCCTGCACCCGCCAGGAGGTGCCAGGTGCGGTGCCAGGTGTCTGTCTTTGGGAAAAAAGGAGGTACCGTGGGTACCTCCCCACTTCCCTAACATGGGGTGGGTGGGAGGGCTGCATATTTTATAATAAATATGAAAAAATTGAAAAAATTGACTATACACTTTCAACAGTATGTCATTATGCAATATTTTTTTCCTTTTTTTTGTTAAAATAGTGTGAAGAAGTAAAAGAACAGCACATCCAGTTTCATTCTACCACAGATCTAGTACAGGATATGAAGTAATGTTGAGATAGCTAGTGGAACTAGGTGAAAAAGAGAAGGGATTTACCTGCGGTACCTGCAACAGGTACCTCCGGTACCCCTGGGAGGTGTCTGGTGCAGTACATGGTATCTATTTTCTTGAAAAAATGAACAGGTACCTAGGTATAAACAGGTACCCAGGTCCAAACAAACAATCTCTACAGAGCTCAGTATCCAGGTCAAAATGCAAGTTGAATCTGATCACACTGTCTTTTCCAATGTATTTCCCACCTTGAGTCCGGTGAATGCCTCACTCCACACCAGTTTCAAACCACCTGGTATTATTTTTTTTCAAAATTTTCATTTATTATCATTCCTCCAGCATTCCCTACTCCAATTTCCAATTTTTATTTTTCTATTTGGAGCAATATTGAAACTTCCAAAAAAAGTGAAATAACTCTGATATTTTTGCAAATTTTAAGAATTATATTTTTTGTATTTTTGTTCTCAGAATCATTTTTGAAACATGTTTTATACCACCTGTCCAAGTTTCATGTTTTCAAGTTAGTGTGATCCAAACAAACTGGCTATAAACATCTGGTATAAACCCGCCGGTGGGTCCCCCCCTACCCCTGATGGTACCCGCCAAGTTGATGCTGGGTGCGGTACTTGGTGCCTGCTTTTGAGCAAAAAAGCAGGCGGTACCCTGGTACCATTAAGCGTACCCGCCCCCAAACCCCCTCCTCGGTGGCTCAACCGAGACCAAGAAATGTGGTGAGTGCGGCTGGTAGGTGACCTGTGGAAGTCAGCAGGTCATCATGGGTTTGATTCAACTTTGACTGCACCCCGCAGTGTTTTCACGATTGATCCTTGGGTCCGTTGGAGGTCAAAAATTGAACCCGGGTGGTCAAAGTTGGCCCCCGGTGGCCCAATTGTGGGTCCGTTAGAGATGCTCTTCTACTCAATTCATGCTGGTCTTTGATTTCATATCCACTTGATCACTCTATCAATATTTTCCCATTCCTCAAGGCTTTATCCAACATCATCTTTTATCAATTATTGTTGTCCCACCACATTGTGATCAAACTTTTACATAGTCTATTTACTCTAGCTAATTTAAACACAATAGATGAAATCCATGGTCATCATTGTTTCTCCTTCAATTTAAAAATTTGTCAGCTCTCAGTTCCCTAAGAATTGCCACCTGGGTCTGCTCACCAATTGATCAACTTATTTTCTCCTTCCCTGTGGTCACAAACCCAACAAACACTTCTTCCATCAGCCCCTTTTGGGTATCTGTCCCACTGGGGATGTCCAACCTCTCCCATCTTTGAATAATTAAAGTCCATACACCTCAGTGCAATAATCATGGAGGGGCAAAAGCTTCCTGGGTGTTACACAGGCCAAAAGGTGGTCAACCTTGACAGGTATCACATTGTAAATTAACAAAAAAAATCAAAACTTTGATATCTATTTTGTAAAAAAAAGGAAAAACCCCTGGCCATTATGCTACATCTTTGAGTTCAAATATAATAATGCCTTGTAACTTCCTGGTACTGGCAGTGTTGGGAGATTCAAAAAAAAGTTCTATCCCAATTAGACATTAAGTTATATAAATTTTCATTTTATGCCATTTTAGTGAAGCTGGGACAAGTTAACTACAAAATCATTCAAAATTCCCTTGCAGCTCGCTCAAGCCTGACACACTAGGGGGGAAGGGCTAACAACAGCAATTGATAAGATTCAATTTTTGCCACCACAAGAACTGTTTGAAACTGGCTGCATCAAGCCTAAATTAGCTACACTTCACATCTTGGAGGTATCTTTGAAGGGAGTGTGTTTGGGTCCAATGCATCTCTTGCCAACCTGCCACTTGTTGCTGAGATTTGCTCATGTGAGCTGTGGAGTGCAAACTCTAGCTGATTTTGAAAATGAGAAGCCCCCCTTATGATTTATTCTTCTCAATGAGAATTTGGCCTGTGGCAATGCACCATTTGAATCTCTACAAACCCATAGATGCGTGTTCATCAAGGATTGTTTGAACAAAAAACTACTACAAGGCTGTACAGCTTGCTAAGAAACCCAGAAATCTGCCCACATGTTCACACATTTCTGAAATATTGTTGATAATTGAGGCCTTGAACTCATGAAAACCCACTGTGTTGAATCAGTACTTGTTTTTTTGTTCCAAATACTCACAGTTGATCATGTGCTGTACCAGCTCGCGCGTTGTAATTTTATGAAGTATTCGCGCTTTGAAATGCGCGGCGCCGATCCCGAACAAGAATTGATTGCCGACAGTTAACAAACTTCGTGGGGATTGAATGACCGACAATTGCGTACATAAAGTGTGGACATATTGTGTTTTGAAGAATGCTTGGACGGATTTGCAGGATCTGCACTCGAAAATCCTGGATTTTCACCGTTTAAGTTTGGATTTTTATTTTATTTTTTCTCTCTAAAACCCATGATCTCGTCATGGACTGCCACAGCGGCGGCCAGCCTCCATCGCTCTTGATTCCCAATCCAGGTGGCCAGCTGCGTTCAAACCATTCCCCCAAACCACCAAAAACGATCAACCAATCGCATTGGCGGCTCAACGATTGGTTTGGATAAAAAATCTCAGTCAGTATTAGTAAATTTGGCCCTCAAACTGCTTGGGGCCGATGGGGTTTCTGATGATTTTGCCTGGTCCTCTCAACATGTAGGCAGGAAGATTGCTAGATACTGATTTTTCCCCCCTGTTTGCAAAAAGAAATCATGCCAGGATTCTCTATATCCTAAGGTCCAATTGGCCCTCCAACAAGTCACTGCCCCTAAAGGTTCGCTGATTGTGATCGCTAACGAAGGTGATACCGGCTTGAGTCTTGACCGCCGCCGACTCCACTCGGATCTTGAGGGTCCCTCAAACGGTCGATTGCTTGCAAGGTCTCTTGACTATCATTCCTATGCAGTTGCTTAGCTACCACATCACTATGTATGCTCTCTCTCTCTCTCTCATCAGCCCATTGTCTTGGACCTTAGGTCTTCGTCTCTATCCCTTTCTATCATTGCTTTCTAGCTTGAGAGGTGTTGACATCGACTTCCGTAAGCTTCTTTTTTCTTCATGTTCTATAGAAAACTAAGTCTTTGGCATCGTCTAACTTGAATTGGCTTTTATCTCCTTTGAACTCCCCCCCCCCTATACACTTGATATGTTATCGGCCCAAATCTTGGCCAAGACTGTCACAGTTGAATAGTCAATCATAGCAAAAGAAATATGACTACTAACCTAAAAATAGCTCAGGTTAACTAGATCAAAAGAACATTGTGATTTTCCTCCCTTTTTTGTATTGATCAGGGTGGTGATTGGTGGGGGAACTTGAGAAGTTGAGGAGATTGTTCTTATGTTTAGTGTGCAGAAACCTTGGATTTTTCATCAGTGAGATGCAAACCAGGTCAAGAGAGACTGATCTCAAGTCAGAATCAGTCGGTAGAGGAACCCTCAATCCAGAATTGATACATATCTGCAGCTCCAAGTTGGAGACTGGTCAGTAAGCTCTTGGATTAAAGGTCCATGTAAGTTCATCAAATTGGTGTCAATCTCATCCAGATCGTTAAAATATTGAACTAGAGCCTCACTCCAAAGAGTGACAAAAAGTCAATCCGGTGGTCAATTTGGATCCGATTCAAATTCTTGTTCATCACAAGATTGTTTAGAGAATAATTTATGGACTAATTTCTCATTATGATTGTTTGTTCATTCAAGGATAAGAGAAGTAATAACATTCAAATCATGAAGGAGCTGCAGATAAACGACAAATTTGGGTACAAAACCAACACCAATCAGTTGACCCATGGTTATTTGATGTGTTTGTAAAAGATCGATGAGGAGATAACACATAACAATCCAGAGAAATGACCAAGTGCTGAAAAAACAAGATGTGATTTGGATGTCAATAAGAAGACACCGGTGGTACAAAAACAAAGATGAAAAAGTCATGAAAATTGTTTAGTTTGATGGGGAACAGGACTCACAGTGCCTGTAAGCCTTTTAGCAAAGATCAACCATCATAACATGAGTGATCGTTTGTCCCAATGCCCAATTCTGGGCTGCGGGTCTGATGTAAATACTTGCAAGGGCCTGCACGTGTTGTTGAGATGCTACAAAAGCTGAAGTTTGATTGTTCCATGAGAAAGATTATCAGCTCTCTTCGTATGACCAAATGGCTAACAGAGGAAATAAAAGAGATCAACTTTTGGATGTCGGAAAACCACGAGATCCTTCAATCGCCATTTGGATTGCGCGAGCCCTGGTGGATGCATCGTACAATTCAAAAATTGTCTAGTGATGTTTTGGTTGGGATAGATGCCAGGATGATGGGGGGGGGGGGGTCGGTATTGGTGGGTCGTCGATGTTGGTATCTGCTTGATCACAGCGAGGTGAATCAAACCAGAGCTGTGTGGCAAAAACCAGCAGCTGAAACTGCTGCACAGCAGCATAACAACATAACTTTAGTTCTTGGAAAACTTCGGTTTGTCCAAGCTTTGTTCAAAACACAATATTTGTTCATGGCTTGGAACGATTGATCGGGTCTTTCAATCGAGGATGTTCGAGCAGAAGTCGCAAGCGGAGGATGATGTCGGGAGGCTTGAAATCGGGGGCAGTGTTGCTGAAGATTTGCATGTCTGGAAATGGTAAATAAGTTTTACCGATCTCATCCAATTCACGGACAGCACACATCGTCATCTCTCATCGAATAGCTCACACTCGTCTTCTTAATAACCTCATGGGTCTAGCTCATCCTTCCGCTTAAAGGACATAGCCATCACACTCTTGTAATCGAGTTCCTCACCACTGATTCTCATCAAGACTTCAGCCATGTCGGACGTGGTAGTAAGTACAGTTCGATCCGGGCAGAAATAGGTTGCTGATACATAGATGCCAGGACTGAGCCTTGTTGGATCGACAGATTCGAGAAATCGTCAAGGGGACTATCCTCACCTTCTCAAAGCCATTTGTAAGGCCATTTTTCCTGACTTGAATTTCTCGATCGGCTTACTGAAATGGAACCTCTGCTTTGCCTGCCTGACAGAAACGCATGGGGATCACGCCCATCGGCGGTCGTTCAACCGCAATCAAGCTCTCTGATTCATCCGTATGGATCTTGGCTTCTACGCCATTGACGGACGAGACTCGCGACAAACTCGATCAACTTGGTCCCGTCAAGTGAGCTTCAGATTCTCCTTACTTGCGGTGATCATCAGACAGTTATCAATCGAGAACACGTCAAGCAGACAATAACTCGCTGGGCACCTAATTCATCACATCCAACCCAACAGATACATCGCTGTGGCAGACATAGAGCATACTGGGTTCACCACTCAATACACCGAAGCTTACCCGGATGCAAAGGTGTATGGCCCCGAAGGCGCCGCTAGCAAGCTGGGCATCAACGTCCACGAATGGACTGCGGATAAGAATCACAACCCAATGGAGTACGACAGCCAGGTACTCAAAGATGAGATCAAAAGCGAATACTTTGATGGGTTCATCAATAAAGTCGGTCGGACTTTGAATTGATCTTTTTTTTTGCTGTCGTCAATGAAGGCTGACCGTTTCTTCTCCGACATATGTAGGATATTGCGTTCCTCCACGTGCCCAGTAAAACTCTTGTCCAAGCCGATCTGCTCTTCAATTTGCCTGCGAATGAACAGGTCGATTAGAATAGCCTTTCTTTCTCAAAGACAAGCATACCTTGTGCTGATGGACGGTGTCTTGAACGTCGTAGTATTCGAAATCCAAGGAATCTCCTACCAATTTCACCAATTGGTTTGCAACCTTGAAGCCCGACTCGATCCTACACCAACGATTTGTATACAACCTTGCCGCTGTCAACAAAAAGTAAGCTGGCGTTCAAAGAACAATTGGTCTTACAGGCCCAACGTGGATATCTCGTTTTGAAAGCCTAAAGAATAATTGTTTTTTTTTTCTTACCCTATAGATCGATGGCCCATTCTGTGGCCAAAGTGGATCAATGGGACTTTGATCGGATCATACCATGGTAAATGATAGTGTTCTCTTTGTCGATGCAGATTCCATTTGCTCATGAACCATGATCATTTGACTTTTTTGTTCATTGTTACAATGGCTTTTTTTGCGAATCAAGTCATGGTGATGTTATCGAGACTGGGGGCAAAACAGCTTGGAGGAAAGCGTACTGCCTATATTTTGGTCAGCAACTCCGTTTACCTTTGATTATCTGGTATTCTTGATTTGACACGCTGACATCATGAATGAACGATTTTGATTTTTTTTTTTTTCAGACGATATTAAAAATGGGAAATTTCCTGGAATCGGAACTTCCAAGGACCAGTAGACTGTTTTAGCACACTCGCCGATCTTTCTTATATCGGGTGATCACAGCTTGATTTGTCTTCTCCTCCCACTTTGCTCATTATTAATATACTTTGAAACATGCTTACTCTATGATGATCAAGTCCGCTTGCCAAAAACAAATATGTTTCTTATACATAGCTTACATTTTAACCGAATCAAACTCCTTTCCAGCTCCTCAACTTTGTCGATCAGTTATGTATGTATGTAGCCCCAGAAAAAGATGAGATTTGTATCAAAAATGCACTTCCAAAAATGGAAATCCCTATCATGCTGAAGATTTCCCTTCCAGTGATCTAAAATCTTCACAATTCTCAATACAACCTAGCCCTCCCTCTTGTACTCATACTTTTAGATAGTTTCAGACAGATCTAAGTGGATATCTCACCTTGATCATGCCAGGGGCTTGATAGGAAAAGAGTACTTCTTGTTAGTATTTCTGGGCAGCTCTTAAAAGATGCCTGTGCGGGGCGGTTGAAATTCTCAGATGTTCTGTGTTGTAATCAATCCCCTCTGGAGGATAGAAGAGCCATTTTTCAGCAGCGGTCTCCCTGACTCAAGTCAGATGAGTATAATTTGGGGAGGCTGAGGACGAGAGTCTGGGTGAATAATGCCTTTGATTGCTCTCAGACTTTTGTCCGTGGCGATTGATCTCTCCTGAACGTTGGAATGGATCTATTTAAATAGGCATGCAGGCAGACCATCCCATAGCTTCAACAGTTTACCGGTACGTCTGGATCTTAAGGCTTTGAGCCTTTGTTTATGATCGGGCTGCTTGGCCCGGTGCAACTTCAAGCAAGACGGCCTCAAGTATTTACACAGGGCTCCCTGATGAAGAATGATGAGAGATCAGATTGGTTAGGTCGAGACGCCGGTCGGGCGACCGTAAGACCGAAAGCCGATCGGTTGTCGAGTCAGTTGAAAGAAATATTTTTGGACTTGGACAGGTCATCTTGGGCTCTGGATCCTGAGTTGATGGGTGGGTGCAAGAGTCCTCCAATGTTGTGTATTTGGCCAACAAAGGTGTGAAGAGACGTGAAGAGGCCGAGTGTGAAGGCTGAATATGTACATAAGAAGGAGGCTGTGGCGATGAAATTAATAAATAAATAAATAAATGGGATTTCTATGTAATTTCTAAGGGAACGGCCAGTCGGCTGTACACACAGATGGCGGGCACACTTGTTTAAGATCATCTTTTGCTCTGCTCACTCCAAAGTCCGCACCTTGCCAATCACCACACAACAACCACTCGAACAGCAAACACCTTCGCTACCACTTCTGCTCACCCACCACCACCCTGGTCGCCAGCCTGCTCACTGGCTTTCTTTTTCATCTTTCGATCTTCGGTCCTCGAAAATACACAGCTCGTCAGCAACGCGTCCGAGGTTGACGATAGATGCACCACAACATTAAACAATCATATCTAAATCAATTGGCAAAGTACAAATTACAACATCTTCGGCTTCCTTTCAATAGCCTTGTTATACAAAACCTATTACAACACTGACACGATCACCACTGCGATCCTGATTAATGTAGCAGATACAAGTGAAGAACAACCCCCCCAAGTCGTTTTTCAGTCATACACATAATTGGTTTCGTGAATAAACAGTCTGACTGTCAGGAAAAAAAAAACAAAAAACGCAGCAGGATATTTCCCCGGCCCGAGTCCCCACCAGTCGATTTCAAGCTTGGCAGTGGGCCGACCACCAGCTTCTTCCGCTTCAAACCAACCTACACTCATTTCGCTTCATCATGAATCGAGCTCGCCATGGCGGCAATCCCTCCAAACCGAGCGGCGAGAAAGCTCAGGTCAGTCTCTCTCTCACAGATCCCTTTGGTTGTCGTCTGGGAAGGCATCGCATCCCTTCCGGGGTTTTCGTTTCCTCCTTCTTCCCCCCTCGACCCTACTCCCTCCCCGTTGAACTGACACAATCCAAAGTGCATCCTCACTCAATACATACTGATGTTCATCATTACCTGCTTACCAATCATCTAGCTCGTCTTGGCTTACCAAGAACTAGGGAACGAGCTACACTCCACTCAGCTCAAGGTCGTCGGCAACTACACCCTCGGCAGGATCATTGGAGAAGGTCAATAATCAGCCAGTTCGATCTTGACTTCGATTTAGCCGTCCAATTAGTCATCCAGCTGTTCCTGACTCATCTCTCTCTCTCTCTCTCCCTCTCTCCTGGATGGCTTACGACTCTCTTCACAGGCAGCTTCGGTACGGTCAGGCTGGGTATCCATCGCCTCACGGGCTCCCGAGTGGCGATCAAGCACATCCCCAAGTCATCCTCACCGCCCCTGCTGACCCGTGAGATCCATCATCACCGTCGGCTCCATCATCCCAACGTCGTCCAACTCTATGAGGTCATCGCAACCGAACACTCGATCTGGCTCATCACCGAACTCTGTTCCGGCGGCGAGCTATTTGATTACCTGGTCGAAAAGACCCGGTTTACCGAGTTCGAGGCCCGTCGTCTCTTCGGCCAGATCTGTCTCGGCCTCGGCTATGTCCACGGCAAGGGCGTCGTCCATCGGGACCTCAAGCTGGAGAACGTCCTACTAGATGAGCGCTGTAATCCAAAGCTGGCCGACTTTGGTTTTGGACGCGAATTCGAACCACGCAAGCTACTCGACACCTTTTGTGGTACAACTGGCTATGCAGCGCCAGAGATGCTTGCTGGCAAGAAATACCTTGGAGAGGGTCAGCACATCTTCCCTTTTTTACATTCGTTACAAGCTCAATCACATCGATGAATGATTTATTTACTCGCCGACTGCTTTTTTCATACAGAGGTTGACATTTGGTCTTTGGGGATCATCCTCCACGCCTTGCTGACTGGGAGTCTCCCGTTCGATGACGATGACGAGGAGCAGATGAAATCGATGATAATGGCCGGCCATTTTGAAATTCCAACATTCCTCAGTAATGGTGTGTTGTTCGTCCCTATTAGAGTTAAATCAATCTGGTTTTCCCTATTCATTCTCCTTTGCCATATTTTGAAAGGCTGAGGTTTGTCTCACTTACTTGGAACACTTTCGCTCTCCCCAGAGGCTTGTAATTTGATTCAATCCATCCTGCAGCAGGATCCCAAAGCCCGGCCATCGATCGAAAAGATCCTTTCACATCCTTGGTTCACCACACCACCCTTGCAGCACTCCTTCGGTGAGGCCGAACCACTTTCCAGGCCATCGCCCATCATCGAAGAAGCTCAGCAGTTACCCAAATCACCGTCTACTTCGCTTGGAACACTTGCCTCAGTCGATCCACCCAACCAGACACCTTCAAGAGCTTCTCAGCCCATTCCATCCAATCATGCCAACAAATCCAGCCATTCAGTCTTCGACTCGGATGCATCTGGACCCAGCAGCAAAGAAAGCGACTTGAGCGTCTCCTCAGGCCGGAGTAGTACAAGTTCGCCTGTCACATCTGAGGATCTACCAGCTCAGATGCCTGCAATTCCTGACTTGGGTCTCTCATCTTCCGACTGCTCAGCAGGTCATCCAAAGCCGAGTACCGCTTCAAATTCCCAGTTGTCGCCCCTTCTCAAACACTCCAACAGCTCCCACTCAACCATCAAGAATTCACAGTCTTCAATTCCACACAACCCTCTCCAACATCTGCCCACGCATGCCGAGGATGAAAGTGACACGACACTATTTGAATCGAATCTCTCACCGAACGCTGAGTCAGACCCTACCTCGCCTCAGTCATCCAATCTCTCACATCCAAACGCCAGGGCAGGTACATCAAAACCCCGCCCTTTGTCCATTCTTTCCTGTGTGCCCTCCTCACTTGCACATCCTCAAATTCGTACACCCTCTCGAACAAAGCGGCGGTCAGTTGGGAGCACCCTATCGGAGCGAATAGGCCCTTTTGAGGATAGTGCTACATCCGATTTTGCTACTCCTACCACCAATCAAGCTCGACTTTCAACCTCATCACTGTTTACTGTTGTCATTGATTACGTCGGTGCACTGAAAGCTACCACTCAAGCCCCTCTTTTGAGCCCAGATGATTTGATTTTCATGAAATCTTTGAGCGTCCTAGGCTTTGATACTGGTCAAATCATTCACTCAGTCCAATCTTATGCCTGCGATTCATCAGGAGCATTATGGTGGCTGCTGAAAAGGAAAAAGGAAAAACAAAGTGTCAGTCGGGATGAGGCAGAGCGAGATTCAAATGACGCTGCGAGCAAAGATCCTTTCAACACCCAAGGTCCGCTTGAGATTCAATCCCCCGACTCTGTGGCCAAGGACGAGTTCTTGCCTAGTTCAGTCGTGATATCAGCCCCTATTTCATCTTCTTCCAACGTTGGCGTACCAGTCATCAGTCCACCCGAAGACTCTTCCCCGACTACCAATCTTTCCAGGAAGCCAACAACCCCCAGCAAAACAAAAATAACACTCTCGAGCTCCCCGAGGACAGAACCATCGCTCAATTTAATCAAAGTTGAGAAAGAAGCTGGGATGGAGAACCCTATCCTCACTGGACATCGATCGTATCTGAATCTGAAGGCGAACTTTGGCTCTACTAGGAGCAATCCGTTTACTACTTCTCCGGGCAACTTCAATGATGATACCTGCTCCAGCACCTCCTCAGCAAAACTCGACACACTCTCTAGCTCCGACAAAGAAACTCCTTGCATCACTGTTGACTTGGCAGCACCGACCAAGAAATCAACTGCCGATCTAAGGAAACGAAGCCAGTCAGTTAGCATGTTACAACGTGCTACCCATGCTCTAGGCACCAAAAAGTCAGCCGACGATAAACATAAGAGTCGCAGTCGAGAGGGGAGCTCAACTCATGACGGAGATGAAAAGCATGGTCATGAAAAGGTCTCCAAGAAAGAGATCAAAGCTCGTGAGAAAGAGAGCAAGATGGAAGAACATCCAAAGCCATCTGGTAGCCTACCCCTGTCTGGCTTGTTCTCTCGCAAAACCCTCCTCATTCCTTCCCTTCCTCCTCTTCCCTCCGGTCTGATGCTTCACCAGTCCTCGGGGGGATCGGAGAAATCCGTCGACAGAAGCGGGCACAGGTCAAAAGAACTCGACGTCCCAGCCGAAACGTGTCTTGTAGTTCCAGACTTCAAGTCCATCAGG